AAGTAAAAACATGGATTGAAAAAGGCTTAAAAGAAAGCTGGTTAAGTTTCAAGAATAACTAAGGTATCTTGAATAGGTGCAAAGGAGCCTTCTATAGATCACTAGAGCATGGATTTGCTTAGGCAAACTGCTCTAGTAGGAGAAAAATCACTTTTGTGACTGATCGCACTTGGGCACCTAAGGTAGCCGAGTAAGTCTGGAATTAGAAAAAGAAGGCAGTTATATAGCTAATGTAAATTAGTTTTATTTTTGTTATGATATCATGTATGTCTTCTTTTAATAAATGAAGGGCAAAATCACCTAAGTTAAAAAAAAAAAAAAAAAAAAAAAAAAAAAAAAAAAAATTATTACTTGCTAGATCTTTCTACCTATTACATAAAGTTTACTAGATTATACAACTCATATTTTTATTTAATAACTACTATTTTACTAGATTTTTTAAAGTTTTATAGATTATTATATATTAAAATTTTGAAAACAACTCAATTTGCTAATCATCTAAACCAATACAGAGCAAAGACTTCGATATATAAAATAACTTATAAAATTTAAAGAAATCTAATAAAATTTTAGTATTGAATAGAAGTACAAGTTGCATAGCTCAATAAGTCCTATAAAGCAATAAGAGGCAGAAAGATCTAGTGGATGACAATATTAAAATTTTAGCTAAAAGTTTACTTTATGAAATATTCAAGTCAAGAAGTTAAAACATGAAAAGAAGTAAAAGAAAAGAAAGAGTTTAAACCAACAGTATTTTGTACTAGGACAGATACTACATCTCTTATTTATTCTATAAAAAGTTTTTGCAGTAACTTTACTAGATCCTTTAACTATTACAAACGTATATAATTTTTGTAGCTTTTTGCTAAAGAAAAGTAGAGAATTAGCTTACTCCTGACAAAAGATTGATAATAGTACTATATTCTAATTAAGACAGATAATATATTAAAATATTAACAACAACAAAACAATACATATAATTTTAACTAGTCATATATCTATCATATTATGAATATGAAAATAGATTAGAGTTATTATAAGATAGATAGTATATGTATTGATACTATTTATAATTTTTACTACAAATAGTATTTTTGCTATGCAGTTATATAGTCAATTTTAGCCTCTTTTATTTTCATTTTCTCTTATATGTATAGTACATGCTCTAGGATAATATATTTTTTACATATAGTATCTTTAATTTTTACTCAAGATTTTCTTTTTATTTTTGTTCTGATTTTATTTTCACTCTTTTTTATTATACTTTTTATATATTACTCCATTTCTCTTTCCTTAAAAATTTTTTTTCTTTTTTTTCTCCTATAAGAGGATATTATCAAATTGGTAGTCTCTAATTGTGAAGTGATAAAGAAGTCTTAATAAGTACATAGTAGCTTTCTGTAGATTAATAAAGAGTGTCTTTGCTTAGACAAACCTCTTCTTTAGAAAGAAAATTTACTATTGTGACTAATCATATCTGGGCACCTAATGGCAGCTAAGTGAGTCTGAACTTGATAGTGAAGGACAATTATAAAGCTAGCTTAGTATAGTTTTTATTTTTGTTTTAATATTGTATATGTTTTTTCCTAATAAAGAAAAGGCAAAATTATCTAAATAAAAAAAATATATATATATTAAAATTTTTTACTTTGTAAAAGTTTAAATGATTAGCAAGAGTTGATTATAATGAAAATTTTAATATTTAATATATAAAAAAAAATAATTTATATATATTTTAACTAATCAAATTTCACTATATAAAATTAGCTAATTATATTTGATTATATAAACTCAATATTTGCTATTCGATACTATAGAAACAAAATAAAGATAACAATAACTTTAATTTTTTTTTATGTATTAAATATTTATTGATCGTTTTACCAAATTCATCATAATGCTTTACATTAAATTTACTCAATAGAAGACAATAAATAGTCTAGAAATCATCTTGTCTTTTATTTTTGCCTTGTATGAAATAATACCAAATTTTATCAAAATTTATTAGAATTGGCAGAAGCCATTGAATTTTCATGCCTTATATTATTATTTCTTTTAAAAAAGCAAATATTTTCAATTTATAAATTTTATACAAAGTAATTGCAAAATATTTTATTTAATAAATATGTATAACAAAAATATAGTCATTACATAAATCATAATACTGTAGGTAATAAAATAAACTATCTACTATTTATGATAAACATTACGACCTACGGCATAGGTTACGGCCTGCGTAATTTGATACACCATCGTCATAAGTTACTACTTACGGCATTATGGCAAAACGTAATGGTCACGGCAAAAGTTGCAACTGCCGCTATGGAATAATAACTACACCTCTATACATAGGTTAAACCTCTGAATCGCTACTTTCACGTGATAAAAATGCTAATAATATTACGAGCAGTTTCATGTACTCAAATGAACAATTTTTTTATATTTGTTCTCAAAAAATAAAAATTATTCTCAAATGTTCTTAAGCAAAAAAAAATGATATTATTTTTTTTAAATACTTTTGAGAACAGAAATTTGATCAAATTGTTTTCAAATAAGGGAACATTTTTTGAATCACAATGTTTTCAAAATTATTTTTGGGTTCTCTAAGAACAGTGAAAACATTGAATTTTCGACACTGATTACGAGATCAGGTGTAACACGATCAGAAAGATCATAAAAAACCACCTTTTGTGTTCTAATAAAAGTTTTTCTTGAGTAATTTTACTATAGAAACTTCTAAAGCCAACCCTAACATAAACGGTTATCACGTGGTACTATAGTGGTGAAACTCAAAAATTGTGATACTGGCATAGATAAAAAAAAAAAAAATTCACTATTAGATTATATAGAGAGAACACTATATGTACTTTGCTATATTGAATTGAAGATTTAATATACTGATGAATGTTTACTACGTATAACGAGAAGAGTTGTACTACGGTTATACCAAATAATATCTATTATAAACCAGCTAGATAAATATATTCAATAAGAACATGTACAGTAATATGTCTAATTTCAGAATTCTATATATCTGAAACGAAATAACTGCAATAAAATACCTAACGCATGTGAAAATACCACACAATTCGAACTCTAGATCCTAAACTCTATCGATTGATACGAACTGTACGTACGTCCGTACACACTTAGGTACGTATCTGGTATGTACGTACTACAGCATTTATAAAGCCTTTCTACCTAACTCTATCCTATCTACAACTTTAATAAACTGATCAGCTAGTTCTAGTGTGAAATAAGCCATATATGATTATATTAATATATATACTAAGATATAATCTAGCTCATGATTTTATCTTAATAAACCCATTATTTTACCGCAAATATTTTAAAATTTACACATCATTAGACATCATTGATAATTATTTGTAATTTTTAATACTCGTAGGCAATTGGTTTAATATTCAAAAAAAACAAGAATTTTCATTGTACAACTTGACCTTTCCCACAACTGGTATTTACATTAAATTTAAATAAGTCACGACAGACCCGTAGAATATCAGTTGATTTACGACACAGGGATTTATGCAATAAATAAGGTTTTATAATATATATTAATAAATTGAACAGTAAACAATGTTTTTAAATTATTTTGTTTACAAAACAAATGTAAAATTTTTAATATGTTAGTTCATTTTCGACTGCAAAGATTGGAGCAAGGATAAGGCCCTTGAGTTGCGCGTATCTTGCATTTTATAAACATTTATTCAGGTCGGCCCGATTATTTATTCTCGCAAAATTTTATTAATATTATTGATACGCGTGGGTTGTGTAATGATGTATATTTATAAAACTATAATACTACTGTAAGGCATCTAAAATTAAGTGACACAACTTCTTACATATGTACTGTACACATACAAAAGTTTTTTAAAACCCAAAAGAGATCTCCAGCCACCTTTTATATAACAATCCTTTGCTGTTACTGTATATGAAATTCTTCCCATTTCAAGACTTGACGAGTTCCTGATCCTGTACAAATACAGAATAATACATAGAGTCTGAACGCCAACTTTCAATAGTCGCTCTTTATTTTTATTTTAATTTTTTCTCTTTCCTACTTTACTCTATCTCGTTTTTTTCCTTGATTTTCCCGGCGTTGGGCTTTGATTCTTGTGATTTTTATTTATTTATTTTATTTTATATTTTAACGTGTTATTTGAGGTTCGCCTTTTGTTTGTACAGTTTAAGGTTAGTCTTGTTTGTTATTTTCCCAATTCGAGTTGACTATTTTTTCAACTGTTTCACATATTAACGATTTATACTTTTTTATTTCGAAACAATTGGCGCGTCGCGTATTTTCATTCTTTAAGTTAATAAAGTGTACAAAGTAAGTTAATTCTTTACTATAATTCTACTATGTAACATTAGTGATCATTTTTTCTCGAATTCAAGAATTCTAAATATTTATACTGTAGTAGCAAAAAAAAATAATCTCTGCAAAACACAATTGGAACAAAGCCGTCTTACGATTATCAAATTATCCTCACGAATAATAAGAGGGATTATATCATATGTCAAGAATTGATATAATTAATATATACGTACAAAACAAAAAATTTCCTCGTGACAGAATATCGCTCAAGTCTTTAGTAATAATTAAAACTAAAATACAGAAACGAAATATTAAGTAAACTTGTAAATAATGTTTGCACCGAGATCTTCAAGGCCTGTTACTGTAGCTATTTATCCTCAAAAAAATGGTGCTCTCCGCCGAAAAAAGAAAAGCGAAAATGTAACGCCTGCTGTTAGTATTGAAATTTTAATTTTAATTTTTTTTTTTTTTTTTTAAGTGTCTCAATTCGAATAATTCGTTAAATACAATTATGTTGTCTGTCCTCTTGGTCATTCATTAAATGCTTATATGTGCTTGTATATACATCAAACAGATTTTATTAAATTGTTATAATAATACCAGATATGACTAGATAGGGCCTTTGAGAGAATGAATGCAGGGTTTGATAGGTGTAAAATAATTATTAGATATATATGATCTATTGTTCACTGGTTGCACATATAATATATGGAATTGTAAATGTGAATATTAACTATGATATATATATTTATTTCATCTTAATTTAGATTGAACTTGAGCGTATTCTTGGTCTAACAACTTCAAAACCAACTGCGATTTCAACAGCACCTACTCATGATCTTGTAGCTTATGCGGCTGGTTCTGTTGTCGTGTTATATAATCACAAGAAAAATAAGCAAATCGGTTTTTTACACGCGTCTTCAGCAGTTATTCCTACTTCTCTTCAAACCCCTGCTGTTATTCCTAATCGTCATACTTTTGCCGGTGATAGTATTCTGAATCCACTGGGTGGCTTGGGGTTATTGGAACCACCGGGTGTAAATGCAAATGGAAATACTTCTTCGAAGAAACCCTTGATTAGCAATAAGGCAAAGCCAATCTCATGCCTTGCTTTTTCCCCTGATGGTAATTTATTGGCTGTTGGTGAGGTAAGTATTTAATAAAATCTTCTTTTATATATTAAAATTAATATCTGATATTTTTGTTTTATGATTATTATAATCAGACTGGTCATCAACCACGTATATTGATATGGGATGTATCAACAAAGACTCTAGTAAATGAACTCAAAGGTCATAAATATGGTGTGTTAGCGTTAGTATTTTCCCCAAATATGAAATGGATTGTCTCTTTGGGTTTCCAAGTGAGTCAATTATTTTAACTTACATTACATATATTTTTATTAAAGTACATTTTATTACAATAATAATAATTTTTTTTTTTTTTTTTTTAATCCATATTATATGATTGTATTAGCATGATGGTTATCTAAACGTTTGGAATTTGAAAACTGGTGCAAAAGTAGCGTGTAACAAAATCACTACCAAAGTCCACACTTTAGCATTTAGCCGGACTGGTTCATTTTTTGTAACTGCTGGCTTGAGGCATGTAAAATTCTGGTATTTCGATTCCAATGGAAATTTACCAAAAAAGGCAACGGTAAGATTTAATTATTATTATTTCATTATAATTACTATTTTTTCGTTTATCTTAAAATCTTATTTTAATATTAGGGTCAATCAATACAAAAAACTGCTCAAGTTCTTGATGGGCGATCTGGCATTCTGGGCGATTTAAGAGATAATAATTTTCTCGACGCTGCATGTTGTCAGAAATCTGATCACACTTATTTTGTAACTTCTAATGGATTGTTATGTATGTTCACGGAAGGAAGATTAATGGATAAATGGGTTAATTTGCAGGTTTATAACATTTAACTTTAAACAATAGTCATGAATGCTTGTTATTGTTTAATAATATTGTCTAACATTTATACTTATGATTTGTTTTTCGTAAACGTTTTATTTTCATTATTTTATATATAAAGGTCAAAAGTGCCTATTCTATCGATGTAAGCCAACAATACATTATTTGCGCTTGTTCAAATGGAATTGTCAGGTAATAATCTTATAAAAGATATTTACAAATTCTTTTGTATATAATATTAATTAACTCCCTATTTTTAGATTATTTGAACCGATAACACTGAATTATCTGGGTACTTTACCAAAACCACATCCTTTGGGTGTAGATTTGACCTTACAAACTGGGACAACATATAATGGAACTGGTGATCCGAATGAAACGTATCCAGACACAACAGCTATAAAATTCGATGCGGAAACCGGAAAACTTACATGTATATATAGTGATCATAGTCTTTTTATATGGGATATAAAAGATATAAAAAAAATTGGAAAATATAGAAGTTTTCTATATCATTGTGATACGATTTGGGGTGTAGAGGTAAATTAAAATAAAACATATTCTCTTATTATCATGACTTTTGTATACACTTTATTCAAAAACATTCCATCTTCAGATGATACCACCTCGTGATACTGCGGATGGACATTCTACATTCCCAGAAGATACTTTCGTCACTTATTCCGCTGATAGTACTATCAGATTTTGGAATTTTGACGGTTCTAGTAATACGACTGGTTCTGGTGGTGCTCCTGCGGGAGGTAACAACACAACCATAAAAAGAAATATTTATAGCAAAGAATGTATGAAAATTATTTATGTGGATCCAGACGGCAAATATAGATCAAGTGCTTTGGGAACAAAATCTGAAAAATCTGGTTAGTGTCTTAAAAGTTTAGAGAATTATCATAACAGTATTCTTGCTGATTAGGTCTTTTGTGCAATAGATTCCGCAGAACCTGTGCTAGTGGAATCAGGCATTCGTACTCTAAAAATTAGTCCTGATGGAAAATTAATGGCATCTGGTGATCGTGGAGGAAATTTAAGGTATTTTACGCGTATAATAAGAGTTTTAATGTTAAAAACATATTACAAACATATTAAATAATTTTTTATACTGTATATTTAGAGTACATGATCTTGATACTTTTAAGGAAATTACGTATCAAGAAGCACACGATGCAGAAATCCTGACAATTGAATTTACTGATATGCGTATGCCCGGTGAGTAGGTGCAATTTAAGTAACGTTTTTTTTTTATAGCTTTTATTAATGTGCCATACATGGCCATATGAACAGCATCGTTATTAAATGCATATGCATGTCTATACATTATTTTTAGGCGCACCATACTTAATTGCTACTGCGAGTCGTGACAGAATTTTACATGTTTTTGATGTTAATAATAATTTTCAATTGGTTCAAACTTTGGACGACCATTCTTCGTCTATAACTGCTATAAAATTCACCAATGATGGCGGAAAGTTGATTAGTTGTGGTGCTGACAAGAGTATCATATTCAGAAGTCGACAAAGTGTAGGTTAAAACTATCGACTTTTATTTAATACAGTCTTCCTCGTTGATATCAACCTAATGAGTCCAGGTCATTCTACTGATATATAAGTAGGATGAATAACTAAGATTAGTGTTAAAAAACTTTCATTTGTAGGGAAATTTTTTCTATGAATAATATTAACAACGAGCGTTGATATTAATGAAAGTTGATAATAATTGATATTAACCATGGCGGACTGTAAATTAAAATTTTATCATTCATTAAAAAAAAATTTTTTTATTTAGTCTAACGGTATGCCATGTTATGTGTCATA